CAGGAATCTTCATTTCCCTGGATAGGATCTTCTGCTTCCGGAGTGGATTCCTTTGAATCCTGGCTTTTACGGCTTTGATGGCTGCTGGAGTCCTTACTTGACGAGGTCTTCCGCTTCTTGGCCTGTCATCAACAGAGAACGTCTCATTGTACCGCTGAATGGTCCTAGACACAAATTTACGCGATATTTGAAGGCCGCGTAAGAGTTCAAAAATCTGACTAGCACTGTGATTACACTTATGTAAAGCTATCACTGCAATACGGTTCTCTGCCTTGCCCCACTCCATCGTTATGCTTCGAGAGATCAATACAAACTGAGGTATATGTAATTACCCGAAAAGCGCTTAATCAACTGACACCACAATGTAAACAATCGGACAAGTATTAACAGGTCTACACTTGTTTGAAAACGAGGGACAGAACTTATGGCATGACTACGTAGTATCTTGAAAATACTCAAATCAAATCGTTATCTACGTTATTAATCTTGGAATGTGCCAATTTCGGATTTTCAAATGCGGTTTGTTTATCAACTAGTAGTCCCGATCTTTTTTTTTAACCATATGCTAGATACATCGTTGATATCTCGACAGATACACAGTACATCAAAATTTTCTATTTCAGGTAACCGACTGTTACAACATAGAGAAGTATTAATCCGTAACGTAATTTTACTTGAATATTTTCTACTGGAAGAGGAAACCGCGTATCGAAAGATGTTTGCTTTAAAAGTATTTTTTTAACTATTAAAACCGAGGTTTCTCATCAATTAATTTCAAAGTACAAATTAGAATTTGCTCCTAAACTAAAACATTATTTTTTAATGTTCACATGCTAATAATCTGTCTTGCAGATCAATATTATCCTTAGTACAGCTAATTTAGAGAATATTCTGTAGGTTTTCTGTCCAAAAGCTTTAAATATATGCCAGCTGTTAAGAATTATAAGTGGATGCCGTATTTAAATCTTGAGTTCCAACAGTAGCATTTTTTAGCCCAGTTTTTTCAGTCTGAAAGTTTTGTAAAGTGACCAACATTTTTTCTTAAATTCCAATAACCCATGTGCCATCTTTGTTGCCTAACTATTTTAACAAATCCTGTGTTTTTTCATATTTTTTTGGGGTCAAGGTTTAAATATGATTTTGCCATACTGTATAAAGTACAATTGAGTTATGTTCCTTTTTTCTGAAACCGTAGACATGTAGCTCGAAACTATAGCTGTAAGGTATTATTTAAGGCAGAAATGCACAGAATGAAGTTTTAGCATCACGAACGTGTTTTAGCCATTACTTTTTTTTGATAGATTGATAGTTTAGCCACAGTTTGTGCATTTCTGGTTTAAGAGGTAAAAATGTAACTTATTGTTCTAACAATTGTGAATGCAGCAACAGATACTAACTTGATCGACTGCAACCCTTTAGTAGACAAACGACTAGCAATCTGTGAGATGCGATGAAAGGATCCCGCATAAAACATTTTAAAAATTGCTTCCAGTTGATTTGTCTAAAATTCAAGTTGATATATTTCTCGCCTTGATTGAAATTGATCATCGGATTGCTTTGGTCCCAGTAGAAATTTTACTCAGGAAAGCGAGAAATACATCATAATAAATTTTTAGGCAAATCGACTGGGGCTCATTTTTATATGATTTGTGCGGGGTCCTTTGTAGGCACGATTAACGTTTCAAAAGATTATAAGGTATCTTTAATCGTATTCAGGTGAGCGATTGAAGATGAAACGTCATCTAACTCAAATTCTGTTCCAGGCAATGGAAATCTTTTCTATTATCTCGGTTTCCTTTCAAAGCCTTCTATCTCATGGAATCCCGTCTTTGAGTTGCATTCTTTAAAGCATATTGTATTCAAGGATAGATTGTAAAGACATTTGACATCTGCGACTGACAGCCCTTAAGTAATGCCTCATTTCATCAGGTATAAGACGATTTTGAAGTAACTGTACGCGATGGAGGAACATACATGATAATCTTTGTAAAACTTTCAATTATTGTATAAAAGGGGTGCTACAAAATACAAACGAGTTTTCCGAACATTTTTTGACACTTGTGGCAATAGAGCATTTTATTTCAAGGTCTGTTGTTTGACTGACGCTTTGCAGTCTGCCATTGAATGCAGTTTTTAACAGAGCTAAGGACATTTGCGTTTTATTTTTGACGCCAAAAACGTACTGCTACGTTTAATCTTCAGAGTGTTGGAGAGACTCACAGATTGCTGTTCATTTGTCTTATAGAATCTGACGTAGAATATAGATATTTATTCAAAACTACAGTATTTCAACTTTAGATGAATTTATTCATCTGTTAGCGCGAAAATATTCAATCATTGTTCATGCGTTTGAAAATTATCTGTCAAATTCGTATTGTCCTTCATTTTTCACCAATACATCGTTCCTTATATACGAAATTTTAATGTACTAATCAAGTGCTTTATAAACTTATTGTATGCTTATGACGTTGAGGTGCCTTATAGGTAGAGTTAAAAAAAAAATGAGAATGTGATGCTAAGATTGGCCTTTCACTCTACCTAAAGCAACTTAAAGCCTCTATTATTGAAAAAGTATGTTCGAATTATATACAAAATTCATATACATGGGGAATTTGTCAAGTGGCAATTCTTATTGATTGAAATTTGTGCTGAAAAAACGCTGCTTCTGATTTCGTTAAAAATTTCTAAATTTTGAAAAGCTCACAGCATCTTATAGAATCCATATTGTCTACTATATTTACACTCAGATTGCATAAATTATATAAAAAGTATACACAAACAAAATTATAATTATTAAAAATGCATATTGTATTGCCTAAAGCATAACATTGGTGTGATCATATTTAAAAAAATTTAATGTTTCAAATGAGCCATTTATGATAATCTTTTTAGTACTAATATTTAAATATGTTTTATGAGACAAACAATTTTTTTTAGGTCTTTTTTTACGGAACTGAAAAATTCTAGATTTGCCTTGAAAAATGATAACCCAAAAATTTTATAATTCACTGTTTTATATTTTGAATCTTTGATAGTCGAATACTCTAAACTCCACCCATAATTTGATTTAAGTTAATCTGCAAATTAAAAGATCTAATTAAAGTTTTAAAATTCACAAAATAAATGAATCCCTTCTTGATAAAGAGGGAGACATCTCCTTTCAACATCGTCCATTTTAACATTGTATATATTGTGATATTTTTTGAAGTAACATATATTTTAAGTTATCCTTAAAATCATTTTAATATTTTTTTAGATTTCCCAGTACTATCTTATTTGTTATAGAAAAAGTATTGACGTGTGATTGGGTGCAATATCTGAATGATTTTTGTTGATTGGATGCGACAGGAATTTCGTACCTGTTGAGTTTTATTTATTTATTTGCTAGTGTTGATTTAGTTTTAGGAAAATCCGTACATTGTACCATTGATTTACGTATTCCACCAGAAGATTGCTGACAAACCATTCAACTTATGCTTACAACTATACAGGGTCAAGTCAAAATAGTTATCAGAAGAATATAAAAAAATCTAAGTCGTGTACTTTTCAAATTTCAATTTTTTCTTAGACACAGTGACGGACGGTGTCATTCTACGTAGTGATAGCAAGACAGATACTTCTGTCTAAGACAAAATTGAAATTTGTAGTAATGGGAACTAAAAAATCATCAAAGGGTGTGTATTTTTCCGGATTTTTTTTAAGCCTAATTCGAAAAGTACACGACTTTGATTTTTTATATTTTTCTGATTCCTATTCAGCCTTTCCGGCTTGAGGTGCCAACGTTGCCTTTTTCTTTCTCTTGCCGCAGGTTATGGGATTTCCTTTTCCGTCGTTGCAAGAATCTGAGGATACGGAGTTTTAGGAATGATTACGAGGGATAGTGAATGATTTCTCCTCGGAAGAATACGTGAATCAATGATTATACCGAGTTTTACACTGGAATCCATATTAGAATGGGATCGTTTTAGAAATGTTTTTAATTTGCTTATTCATCAGTATTTTCTAAATGTTATTTTTACGTAAAGATGCGAGTGGATCAACTGCAGGGACATACTGTTTTTTTCCTTCAAAGAACCTCGCACAAAATATACGGAAAATGGATCCCAGTCGATTTGTCCGAAGTTTCAGTATGATATATTTCTCGCTTCCCTGAACAAAAGATAGTTGCCGATTTGCAAAAAAAAAAATATGAACGTCCACTTAATCATGTACGTTTATAAAACAGTTGGTGCTTTTAATAGATACAATCCTCCAATTATCACTTGTGGGAGGTGCTAATAAACCAATTTTGTCCAGTGACATGCAATAAAACGGTTTTTATTTTTTTCTCGAAAATGAAGTAACACGAAAAAAATAGAAGAGGCAAAGAAGTTGTATTTTTAGATGCTTAATCAACCAACAAATATTAGTGTTACAAAAGTTAGTGGCATACATTTTATTGCCAATAATATTCGCTAAGGTGCCCCCCAGTTCCTAATAATTTTAATCTAATAATGGCTGAATTAGTCTCTTAATACAAGTATTATTGCTAAATTTTAACAGAATCAAGTAAATATTTTTTAAGATGTCAATTAAAAAATACTTTTTTTAAGAACTCTGCATTTCCGGACCCATGTTTATAAGAACTTTTATACATAATTAACATAATTTTTAACAAGTAAAGTATCTCCGTCTATTTCTCAAACACCCTGTATAACAAACTTCCTCCGCCTATTTCTGAGAAACTAATCATAGAATCGCTTTGGTCCCGTGAGAAATTTTGTTCAGCAAAGTGAGAAATATATCATACCCAATTTTCAGAAAAATCGACTCCATTTTCCATAAATTTTGGCGCTGGGTCCTTTTTCGAAATGAAATAAAGAAATCCTTATAAAGGAAGACCAGTTTCTGAAAATTTTTGGGAAGTCGGTCTTGTCTGGTTTATCGGACATACTCCTACCGAAAATAAGTGTGAGGTCACATGTTCTTAGAGACCGATGTCCACTAGGGCAAAAAATTACATGCTGTTGGATATCTTCTATAAGTTGTGTCATGTTTTGTGACGTATATCGGAAATTCAGAAGCCAACATTTATCTCATTATTACAAATATTCATCAGATCTTCCAGAAAATGTTCAAAAATTGGTTCTCAGATTCTAATGAGCCATGGCGCCCGTATGGCAGAAGGAATAATTAATGGCACAGTCCTAGCTATCAGCTTTTATAATAATTTCTTTGTTTTAATGCATTTTAAGGTTCTAAGCTTAAAATCCAGTGTAATATTCGAGTTCCTATATAAAACGTGGAATTGTATTATCTGTGTAAGCTTTATGTATATGTATGCTCATTGTACAAATTTTTTTGTAATATATACAATCCAAGACAATTCTAGGCTAGTTATTGAAACTGATAAATTAAATTTTACGATATAATTAGTAAGTACTGTTAAAATCTGAATTAATCGATTAATACCACTGTATCTGTAAGTAGATTGAAAAGAAAATGTTACGAACACGCACTAACCGTCAATCGATCCTACAATTGTAGGACGCCTTTATGGTCTCCTTGATTTTAATAGTATTTTTCCTCCTTCAAAAAGGCTGGTGTATTTCTAGCTTTCTACTGTTCCTATTGTGAAATTATGTTTCCTTTTTGAATTGAAAGAAATTTCAGGGTGAAGAAAGTGTAACACAAACATTCTGACCACACATGATGTGCATGAGCATGAAACAAGGTCATATAATAATTTGTAGCAGATTCCTACTAGAACTAATATAGGATTGAATAACCCTGTCACTGGTAAACGCACATGCATTCAGATATACTGTAAAGTCACTCGAATTGTTGAACTTACTCTAGCTAGTATTCGCCCTTTAAATATTGTGTCTTTGTTTTAGAGATTAGAGAACTTTGTTTTCGATAAAATTTGTATAGATTGACTATTGAATAGAGATTTGTTTTAAAAAAATAAAAGCTGAACTACTTATTATTGCAAACAATACAAAATTAAGACAAAGGATCACTTAAATAAACGTCAGGTTCAAGTTGAAGTATCGTTGTAAGTAGTCACAAATATAGGCATAGGTAGATATTCATCAAATAAGGTTAACGTTTACGTAAGCCTCTACTATCTCCAAGAAAGTTGTTCCAATTATTTTTACATCCTCAATAAAGTGTAAACAAATGAATTCAGGACTTACCAAACTCTAGAAGGCGTTGTCGTGTCTCCAAATGTATACAATAGGTAACATAACACCACAGAATCACTGCAAATCGGCACACTACACGACGAAACATCACATTCGAAACCGCAGATGTTCTTTGTTTGTACAGGACGCGCGCGACGTGTTGCCTCGGCGAGATCCAAAGATCGACTGAACAGCAGCAGTGCGTTGTGCGCCGGCCGTCCGCATCGGAACGCTCTCGATTACGTCACAGTCATATGTCCGATTCTCTCTGCCAATCACATCTTACGCGGAAAGTGGGGTGCGCGGTGGACCGCCGTTGAACGCCGTCAACTTGAAGCGATAGGTGTAGCTCCGCCCACCCCACTTTCCGCCTAACATGCGATTGGCAGAGAGAAACGGACATGTGACTGTGACGTAATCGAGAGCGTTCCGGTACGGACGGCCGGCGCACAGCGCGCTGGTGCTGTTCAGTCGATCTTCGGATCTTGCGGAGGCAATACGTCGCACGCGTCGTGCACAAACAAAGGAACATCCGCGGTTTCGAATGTGATGTTAGATTGTTTCATCGTGTAGTGTGCCGATTTAGTGATTGTGTGGTGTTGTGTTCCCTATTGGATACATTTGGAGACACGGCAAGGCTTGCTTAGGGTTTGGTAAGTGCTGAATTCATTTGTTTACACTTTCTTGTAGATAGTAGAGGCTTACGTAAACGTTAACCTTATTTGATGCCTAAATCAATGAATAACAAATAAAGCTATCGTTTACCTATGTCTATATTTGTGACTACTTACATCGATACTTGAACTCAATCCTGACGTTTATTTGAGCGATCCTTTGTGTTAATTTTGTATTGTTTCCAATAGTAAGTCGTACTGTTTTTATTTTATTTTTTTGAAACAAATCTCTTCTTGAGAACAACAAAATTTAAAGGGCGAGTTTTAGCTACAATAAATTCAACAATTCAAGCAGCTTTTGAGTGTCTACAGAATTTCTGAATATATGTATGCATATATGTGTATATATATTATTTCTTCTATTTGTAAAATTGGGTTTGCTGAATAAATGTGGTAGAGTTCAGGGCGTACTGTACTTTCCAAAAACATGTACGTTTATCAGTGATACCGTTATTCAATCCTATATTGGTTCTAGTAGGAATCTGGTACAAATTATCATATGGTCTTGTTTGTATTACACTTTTTTTGAAATAATTTATTTAAACATAATACTTTTCTTGGCTTTTAAAAAATGTTGAAAAACTTTTTAAATTGTTCTAATTCCAACAGCTTATCTAGTTTACAAACATTCAATTCTGTGTGGATACATATCCGTGTTGGCAAGTCATAGTTAAAACAAAATGTCCCCAAATAGGTAACATTATAAGTGTGCCAATAAAAATATAAATGTTTATTTTACCGTCTCTGCTTCTGTACAAAGCAGCTATCATCGACGTTGTTTTATGAAAAAAAATTTAATGTGACTTAACCAATTCAAATTCTCCTCGGTAGTAAAACTCGGGTATTTAATGCTTGATACTTTTTCTACTTTAATATTATTTATTACTATACAAACGTAGGAGGTTATCACATCATTGTTTTGTATTGTAAATCGTTAAATATTCTGGATCTAGCATCACTATTTACACCAAATTTTGATTGGAATCTAATTTTTAGCTTATTTATACTATATACAGGGTGATTCACAAGTCGTGATCAAACATGAAACTATTTGGAAAAATAATGCAACTAATCCCCTGTATCTCCGCCAGCGGTGCACGTAAAGACTTTTGAATGTTGGCAACACTTAGGTAAATCCGCATAGCAAATTTTAGTTCATTCCGGTTGAGGTTTTAAAGATATTAAAACAAATTTTATTATTTAGCTTCAACACCCCGTATCTTTCGATGAAGCCATCAAGGAAATTTTTTTTATTATTGTCAAAATTTTCAGAATTTTTAAAATTCCCAATATTTTACATTCCAAACTGCCATTTTTAAAAATTTTCGGTTTTCAATATTTTCATGATTTTAAAATTTTTCAAAACTTACTATAGTCCTAAAAATAGGAATAACTTGCAATGAATTGTAAAACTGTATTTATAACTTTTATTCAGCTATATGAGAAATATACAATAAAATAATGTGTAAATAAATTTGCTTAATATACAGAATGACATTATAACTTAAATATAAAATATAACAATTACACTATTTACAAATTACGTGCTTGAAAATTTTCAACATTTTTCCCATAAAGCAATTTAGTACCTTCCGTCGTTCTATCATCACAATTTTGAGACAACACTGAAACAAGAAAAACAGCATAAACATCGAATTAAACGGTTACTAGCACGAAAGACATAGGTAAAAATCCTCCCCAACCACAGATACCAATCACGCAAATCAGACTGGACCATCTAATCTTACACAGCACAAAAATAAGAAAGAAACTGTGGATTTGTACATGCCATAATTGTTTGGGGTGGGATGTACGGTTCAAATCTTGGGCAGTTAAAAGTGGTGCAGAACCATATTGTAAGGATTATTCTAAAACCCATTATGCAGCTTTATTCTCAAGAAATAAACCATATTAAAATCTTATATATCATTGCAGTATGTAGTTTTGTACATGCAAATAAGAAATTAAATACAAATTGTGTCCCACAATTATATGACCTATGAACCCACCTTCTTAATGTTATCGCTGTTTGATATGGTCAGTTATACAGGGTGGTCCAACGAAAAAGTCGCACCCCCATACAGAGGGTGTAAAAATAAAGTCAAGAAATCGGTAAAATCTGGTACTGGTGTCGACGGCATTTATTAGCTAATAAGGTTCGCATACGAATCTTCAATATAATAAGTATAATACGCCACTGTGCAGAGTATTAAGAACATTGCGAGTGTGGATCCAAGGAAGTCCTCGCCGTCAGTGTGGACCAAAAGTACTTTTTGTGTAAGAAATTGTAATGAAATAACATCGGAAGAAGTTATAAAAAAAACTATACCTACACCTGCTATAATCACTCCGCGTTATCTGCGCTATTTTCGTTATTCTGGCCATCACCTTGCTCCCTGGTCATGTTCTGTATAGGTTCGCTTTCGGGACTGTCATCACCGGGGGACTCTAGCCGGCCATCGAAAGCGTCTTCTCGGGGGGCCGTCGCGTCCTGGCTATTACTCGGTGCCCGTTGGAAGTCTTCTTTCACCATTGCTTGCTTCTGCATGGGCTCCTGTTATGTTAAAAATGGGACCAGTTCATGAGAAGCTATACTTATAAGATAATAAACCATATTATTATTTGGTAAAGTCTGGTTTTACTCCTAGCTTTTTGGCCGTTTCAATTACGATTAAAAATACGATACCCATAACCACCGCTACAAAAATCACCAATTTACCTTTTCACTGTTGTCCCCTTCGCTTTGTTGCTGTTTCTGCTGCGCGGCCTGTTGAGCTTGAAGGTGGGCCGTTTGCGCTTGAGTGTTTTGCAAATTTTGCGTTCCCGCCATTATTGCGGGACTTTGGACGTTCGGTTTCCGCAGTTTGTCACCTGAAAAAATCCACCGTGAAAACATCTCCTACGACAATTGCAGAGAAAGCATTGAAAACAAAAAAAAAGTTAACGTAACATCTGAAATTTATCCTGTGGTTGTCATGTTTGTCGGGTAAAGTCCGAATCGGAATTTGACGACAAAAAGCTTTTAAAAATTTTGTAAATAGTAAGAATTTTGAAAACTGAAAATTCAAGTTAATGGAACATTTGAGGCCAATACTTCCCGAGAGATAAGTCAAAGAGCAGAAAAAACGGGTTGACGGCGGAGTTCTATGAAAATGGGATACAAAATTTGAATACAGTCTACAAAAATGCGGAGAAAAAAAAATAGCGATTTGGAGGAAGAAAGAAAAAAATTTAATCTCTCTAAATTTCTATAGGAATAATGTTTCATATATTTCTAAAATTGATAGGAATCCAATTCCTCGTATTATTTAGTAGATCCCGTTCTCTGTGGCACCAGACGGCTGATAAGACACAATAGTCACATATGTTTTTTTTTATACTTTCTTTATACAATAAAAGAGAAACTTGCCTTTCCGCCAGAGCGTGATTTCCTGTTGTTTGAAATATCTGCGATCCTCCGTGTCCATCAACACTAAATTTAGAAAATAACGCACGGAAAACTTTTTGTTAATGTCTCTCATGGTGGGCGTTAGCTCATAACCGGCTAGGAATACTCTAATAGGAATACTTTCACCTAAAAAAAAAAATGCGTCACATTTAGAATATTCTAATTAGTTGATAAAAAATTGGAAATATTATGTCAAGCATTTGAAATATATCAGTAGGAGTGCCACGGGGGAGGAAATTAGGGCCATTACTATTCATTTTGTATATAAATGACATTCTAGAATGCTGCAAAATTCAAATATATGCGGACGATACAGTAGCGGACAAAAGTTTGGAAACATTCTTAGTAATCTTTGAAAAGTGCGCTATTGTTTTATTATTAAGGACTGATTAGTTTGCTTACAGTCTTGAGGACACAAATGACAATTTGTGTTTGCTGTGATATTACAGACTAGCATTAAAATACCTTCATATTATTATCGCAGAACGAATACATATGGTAAAGCTGAAATGTTTCCATACTTTTGTCCTTACAAAAACTGTGGTATTTAAAAAAACGCGTGTTTATTTTCAGAGAATTTGAATATTGACAAGATAAACCTTGTATTAGTCCGGAAGCCAAAGGTAGACTTTAATATTTAATTTGTCCGCTACTGTAGAAACATTTGGGCACTGCTTAAGAACTGCTAAATAGTGATAAAACATTATGAATTGATTAAATGTTGATAAACCTAAATTAAACACTAATAAAACATAGTGTTGTAATTTTAATAGATTAAAAAAAAAACGTGTAAAAAGATATTTCATTACCTCTGACAGGTGCACCGTCCATAATTTCATACTTCGCGATCGTTACGTTTTCGGTGAACGTGTTAGGCCCTGATCCAGTCGTTTCTTTTTTGATTATGGCGATTTCCATGTGCTTAATTTTTATTCGAACTAGTAGGAAATAGATTTTACCAACAATAACATCCTTAAGGTGATACCTGAAAAATTCCAACTGGTGTAGAAATCTAACAGAATGAAATATAAGGAAAGATTATGCAGGTAAGAATGTGCGAAAAAGTTCATATTTATATTTAGCAAAAAATTCTAAAACCAAAACAGTTCTGGAATCGTTCTGTGTTGAGGAAACACTGTGGAAAAAAATAAGGATTATGGTGGGATATTTGCAAAAAAATTAAATAATCTAAGGAAGAATATAACTAGTTCTTACTTTGATTTATTGTATTCAAATTCAATATGTAAGCAGTCTTCAATTCCAACCTCCATTTTGATGGAATTATTCATTTCTGGATAACTGGACAAAGTATGTACAGCAATGTCAACTTCTTTGACTATGTCCGCTAACCGCCGTATGATTGTCACTCTCAGAAAATACCTTAACCGAACATTAGCACCTGAAAGTTACACAAAAACATAAAAACGATGATAACCTCCTATGTTTTCAAAAGAGCCTATTTGCCTTTCATCGCCGTCACCGCTAAGTGCGAAATTCGTGCAGTCAAAATAGAAAATTCCTTGTGTCTGAAAAAAATGTGGGAACCCCATGTCGTATAAAAATGTTTCATACAATATAAAAAAGATACACCATAAAATCTTGCCAATTTTGGCACCAAAATCAATTATATTCAATAAAAAATAGGGACGCATTTTTAAATAAAAAAAAAAACATACCTGTATATACTTCAAATGGTTTTTCAACGCAACTAAACTCAAACGGGTAGCTGGAATGTGCAATCATTTCACCCGGTCTGGCTAATTCTTTCACCAGAGAAATGAACTCATGATGGTTACCCCTGTCATAGAACATCTCTATTTGGCCTATGAACTCCACCTTAATTCCTTGATGTTCCAATTTGCTACCTGGTTTCTTAAGACTAATATTCACCTGTAAAATAGATATTTGTAGAAATCTTTTAATTTGAATCATTAGAATCAACTAATTCTGCCTAAAGATAGCCAAATTCTTGAATGAAATAGGAATTAGATGCTAGTGCCATCTATGAGCCAGTAGTGTAGACAAACACTCTCTTCTCATAGATGGTGTTAAGATCTTTCAGATCCCTTTTTTGGTGCTAGAGTAGTAGATATCTCAATTTAGTATTTGAATGCATATACTGCCAAGGACTTGTATCTAGATACAAGATACATTAAAAAAAGTTAATAGATCCTGACCATAATAGCATTTCAAATATATGTTCTTGACAAAAGACTTGAAGACTCTAAGGATATTTTTTTAATATGTGCACAGTAATTTCATTCTTCAGAATGAACCAAAATGAACCTAATATATCAGAGTAATCCAAAATGAGTTTATATTTCCTAAGCAATGTTTAATTTAACATTATTGCAACAAAAATGAATTACACTTATATTGTAATTTAACCTAGAATTCTGAGATATGTGAATTATATACAGAACTTCTTTAAAAAATGGTGCACTGTGAAAGTAGAACCTTAACATCATGTTTGATTTTTCCTGTTGAAAAAAATCAATGATAAGTCTTTACAAAGCTTATTAATAATCTACCCAAAGCTATATAAGTAATCAAATCATTATTTTGATAATCTTGTATCATAATAATGTGATATAGAAGTTATATATATATATAGAAAGTTTTCTATATTATAAGAACTGTTGCATGGAGTTCTATCAATCATATTACTGGTCAATGTGTCTAATAGGACAAATAAAATACCCAAAAACCATTACTTCCAAGATCCTGTATTTCAAAACTGTAAAATATATGCAATTTCTAGTCTTATAAGACATCTGCAAAATTACCATACACTCAATTCTAGAAAGTGTATACTGACCAAAGATAGTGAGTTGATGTGTAAATGGTCAATTTATTGAATTAAAGCCAATAAAAATCCGCACGGTACCTTGCCAGACACTGTTTCACCATCATAATACAAGAGTAGCCTTTCTTTTTTGCCATCTTCCGTCTTGACATCGGCGGCCTTTCTTGTTTCCTGTCCATCTAAATACACATCTATCTCCGCGGACTGGCCGAATCCGAAAAAACTCTGCAAAGGTAGTAAACGAAAAATTAATGTCAAAAAAACATACATAAAATAACCTGATAGCTGCCTTCGATACACCTACTTTACTCACCATTATATTATGCTATAAACAATTATTAAAAAGTATACAACTAAAAGATTCGTATCAGTTTCTTGACAACCCTGTTTATTTTATTTAACATTAAACTAAAATCATCATACAGATCGCATGAAGAACAAGAGCATTTGACAATTAAAAAATCCAGTTTAAAATGGCGGCGTTTACATCGAATTCGCCCACAAAACGAGAAAAACGACACGGAACACCCAAATTATACCGATATACATGACATACATGACGTACTCGTCATATAATTTCATAGAATACAGAACAGTGGGATAGAAAGTCAACAACTACTTTGTCAAGTATTTCCTGCCTGCCATTTTCTCTCTTTCAGGTCTTATTCTATGCAAGTCCGTCCCTGTGTTCCAATTGACAGCTATAACAGTTGACAGATTAATGTCTTTTGATTTTTGACGGTTGTTGTGGAAGGTTATGGCAAAGGAGATGTGTCTGTCAGTGGAATGGTGGTTCGATAAATGCTATTCAAAATGTTGATATCAAAGTGGTTTTAAAATATCCGAATGGACACTCACGTGAAAAAGAGTGCAAGGATGAAGGCGAAACCTTCCAAACGGATGGTTGGGATGATTATACGATCTAGAAAATCAATTGCAAAAGATGCTGTCATGACGGTGAGTGACATTATCCAATACCGAGATAATTATTCCATAATTTTGGAAAAATCCGCATAATTTGCATGTTAAGAACGTTTGTGTGATTTACTTTGTTTATGTATTGTGATTTACGTCGTAATATCTAGGCTCAGCGACAACATTGGGCAACGGTCTTTATCAGAATCTGGTCAAAACCTGATAAGGGGACAGCTTTGATTTGATACAAAACATCAAGCAAAACCGCGTTTTTCAAATTTAATAACCGTTTTAGTTATGTGAATGTTTCTTTTGCACAATATTTAGTCAAGGTATGAATTAAAATGCAAAATTATACTCGCAGTAATTATGTATATACAAAGGATTGCTCAATTTCCATACAAAATTCTTTATGCCATACATAAGGCACATTATTACCCGTATCTCATTCAAAAATTATGTGAAACTTACTCAAAAAGATAAATAATTGCATATCTGACTTATATTTTTGTTTGTCCAAAAGTGTTGCTTACAATTCTAGCTTGAAATAATCTGTACTTACACAAAATAAAGAAGCTATGGAATTTGTTTTTGTTTCATTTGAGAGATAGTTATGTATTTTAGTAAATCAAAACAAGTATATTTTATTGGTGCACATTTTTACTCTAAAGTATCGGTAGGTTTTGTATCCAAACTAAATTCAAAAAATAAATACTGTAATGTTCACATTACAATTTTCATGCTTAATGTTCGTAACTCAATTTTTATACAAAAATGTTATTAGAGATAAGATGTGCTATTCCTCATATCAATGTTCCATAAAACATCTACCAAAAGTAATCTTATTTATCAATAAGATAAAAATAATGTAGATTATAACACTATTATAATTGTTGATTTAAAGTACCCAAATCTGTTATGAAATCATCTTAAGCATTAGAAGATAAGGAAGTTGCTAATATAATTTTTTTGATATAGTCTGAAGGATAGTTTTTATTTGACTTAAATTATAAAGATGATATTATTAGACTCCTAGAGAAAGACTATTATACAAATGTCTTTTAAAAATACACTTATTTATTTGTTCTGGTACATTAATTTTGGCTATTATTATCTAGTCTTTTTATGTATACAAATTTTTTTAACAAGTCTCTGTGACTACCAAATCAATTGAAATTATGTACCTGTTTTTTTTTTCTGGTTTTATAATATACTATTATGATGTATTTTTAAAATATAGGAATTTTTAAATAGACCAGGGGATCTGAAGTTGTTGCAAAAATGTATAGACAGTTTTTACATAAAAAATTAGGAATACATCCTGGATATTTTTTTGCTATATGTTGTAGTTGCAAGGTTATTGAAAAAAGTCAAGAGCATTGATTATCAGAGGCTTGTTTTTAAAGTAAGTACCGTTTTTAAATTACGCCGCCGCAGCGCTGCGGTTGCCGTGTAGCGCATGCGCGTCGTGTAGCTACATCTGTTGGGAAGCCGCAGACGCCATTACTGAACCATCCTATCGAGTCTACATCTGTTTGCGAGAGTAATTTGGGGCGCTGAACTTGAATATAATAGTGAAAAAATCCTAAACTGTCTGACCGAATTTGGGGTAAAAAAATGACCAAAAACGATTTAGCCAGGGCTATCCGAGAATCCAAGCACTGAATTGACATCGAATTCGGAATCTACGGAACCAATTTACATAGAAAATAAGTTTCCAACTGATCATTGGCGCGCAATAGTTTTTAGATACTTTTTATAAGTCGTTTTTTTGACAAAGTTGAATTCTTGCTAGTATATCAAAAACGAAGCATTTCCCGACTGAATATGCCCCGGATTTGGTTTCAGCGACCCAAAAAACGTATCATATACTGACCTATTTTGTTCCTTTTTGGTACATTACACATTAAAATGCTTTAAATGCGGATCAAATAACCTTTATTCTACGTATTTTGAGCCGCTAAAACCAAACCCGACGTCAGTTAACATGTGATTCAGTTTAACGTACACATCTAATTATCTAGCGAAAAATTGCGTTTTTTTTGGGAATAAAAATCCCTTTCTATTGTCGATGGCTACATGTGAGCAAAGCTCTGTACAATAAGGTAATTCGGGGCGCTGAATATGAATATCATCATCAAGTGGAAAAAACAGAACATCAGTTTCTGCAAGCTATGTGTTGCTAATTTTTTTGTCATACTCATTAGTAGTATCTTGGACCATCTGTGGTTGCCTACATATAAATGAGCTTGGTTTCCTAATCTTCAAAGTTTACCTGAAAAAATGTTGTATTTCTAGGTGAGATAATAATTTCATTGCAGAATATGCCTATTATACATTTTTTGCAGATTACTATACAATTGATCTGTTTTTTTAATTGTTAACAAAGTTGCTGACTAATTACACAAATCTTTTCTTCCAGGCATCTGGTATAGGACAGCCCAGCCTTTACCATGCACTGGTGGTCATCTTTCTGGAGTTTTTTGCCTGGGGCCTACTCACAATGCCTCTTATATCAGTATTAAATAACACGTTCCCCGATCATACGTTTCTCATGAATGGACTCATAATGGGGATCAAAGGCATACTCTCTTTCCTCAGTGCCCCTCTTGTAGGGGCCCTCAGTGACGTTTGTGGCAGAAAACTGTTTTTACTAGTCACAGTAAGTTTATTAATATTATTTCTTAGAGTATTTCCATTTTTAGACAATGAACAATTATTTTATTCCTAACTCCATTGTTGTGAGCTGGATTGATTGTTGGATGTATGGATGTAAATATCTTATTCAGAAGTGGGAATACATGTTTTTTTGAGAACACTTTCACCCAACTGCAGCTTATGATCATCCATGTTGATACTCCATACAGTCAATTTTAATTATCCAATACACGGATTATTTCCATAGAAAAAAAACCTGTTACATGTCTTTGGAGGCATGCATGTAATAATGGATATATTGTAAAGATTAAGACTAAAACATAAAGCTTTTTTGAGTGATATTGTTGTGCAACCTAAATTGAGTGCATGAATTAGTTGTAAACATGTTTTTCCAACAGGTATTTTTCACATGCTTGCCGATCCCATTGATGACCATCAACACTTTTTGGTTCTTCGCCATGGTGAGCATCTCTGGCGTGTTTGCGGTCACTTTCAGCGTCGTTTTCGCTTACGTGGCCGACGTCACAGACGAGAAGGACCGTTCTTTGGCCTACGGACTGGTCAGCGGCACTTTCGCGGCCAGTATGGTCATCTCGCCAGCGTTGGGAGCCTATCTCATGGAAAGGTATAAAATCTTTATTCAGCATTCAGGTCTGTAAAGTAAGGGATGATACTTAAGTTTTTATTCAAATATCTTCTGAAGCCACACAGCGCCGGAGACGGCTGTTCCACTCTTCATAGCAGTGCTGGAACTCGGAGGTTATTTGTCAACTTATTACAGATTACTTATGAAGAAGAAATTGTTAATTCTTTTGATAGCATCAGTGAGACCCATGTAAATAAATGTCACGTGTTGATTTAGGAACTACTAATTCAATAACTTGTATTCTTAATATACTAAGTGACATATAAATCCGAACACCCAGTTTAAATGGTTTTATTTTAATAAAAGTTGTAGAATGTATTTACCTTACTGTAAATAACAAGTGAAAAAATTTTCAGCCTTATCAGTTGGACATTCCGGTTTTTATACTGCTTTTTTTTAATTCACTAACGCTCTAAAAATGAATATTTCAGCCGCAGTAAAGAATCAACGTTGGCGGATTTTGGTTCTTGACATCCTTTACGATCGGTTACTATGTCTAGAGTACGGAGACCTGTACGATTTCGTCAACTTAGTGAGTTTGATAGGGGCCGTATAGTGGGACTTCGGGAAGATGGACTTTATTTTCGGGCAATTGCAGTTAGAGTACAAAGAAGTGTAGACACTGTGGTTAGGTGTTGTCAGGCATGGCTTCGAGAAGGCCGTACGCAAAGAGCAAGGGGCACTGGACGCCGCCGTAGAACAACGGACCGTGAAGATCGCCGCCTAAGATTATTGGCCTTAAGGGACCGTTTCTCCACTACGAGGTCCATTGCAAATGAATGGTTTGCAGAACACGGAAGACCTATTGGCATGCGAAGTGTTTACCGACGAATGAGAAGTTTTGGCTTGTTTTCATACCGGCCACACTGGGTCCTCCCTTTAACTCGAGAACACCGACGTAATCGCCTTGAGTGGTGCAGACAACGGTCACTCTGGGATCAGGAATGGAACAGTATTGTCTTTAGTGACGAGTCTCGATTTTGTTTAGGCATGCACGATGGTCGTGCCAGGTTTAGAAGGCGACGTGGTGAAAGGAGGAATCCACAGTTTTTTGTTGAAATACATGTTCATTACACTGTTGGAGTTATGGTTTGGGGTGCTATAGCTTATGGTTCCAGGTCACCTTTAATCTTCATCAGAGGTAACATGAACGCGCAGCGTTATATCCACGAAGTTCTAGAACCCCATCTTTTACCCTATCTTGACACCCTGGCAGATCCAACTTTCCAACAAGATAATGCCCGACCACATGTTGCAAGAGTCACAATAGACTTCTTTCAACATAATGATGTCACATTGTTACCATGGCCACCAAGATCTCCCGACTTATCCCCAATTGAGCACGTGTGGGATATGATGGGTAGGAGATTGCTCATTTGCAACGTCCTCCTCAGACTCTAGAAGCACTTCGAGAGGAGTTAGTGGTTGCCTGGAATGAGATACCACAGGAGGACATTGACCACCTGATCAAAAGCATGCCTAGGCGCGTTGGAGAATGCGTAGCACATCAGGGTGCATCCACACATTATTAAAGGTCAAAGGGCTTTAAAGCAGTGCAATCATTTTGAAATTTTTATCATTTACTTATTATGCTTCATTAAGTACTTATACAAAATTTTATTAAAATAAAACCATTTAAACTGGGTGTTCGGATTTATATGTCACTTAGTATACTAATTGCAGTTCAAATAATTCCACAGAATAAAGTAATCATTTTTGGTCTATATTTATATGGTTTAGATTTGTTATCGGACTTGTTCCAAAAATTGATGATATTAAACCTACACAAAGAACATTTAATCTATTGCAGATGGTCGGTATCACTGGTGGTAGCGCTAGCGACAGCAGTGGCCATCCTAGACGTATTCTTCATCCTAGTTGCCGTGCCAGAAAGCTTGCCAGAAAAAGTGCGAGTGTCGCCGATAAGCTGGGAGCAAGCTGATCCGTTTTCAGCGTTGCGTAACGTTGGAAAGGTTAGTTCATTGAATGCAGCCAATAGACTGTTCCTAAAGTTGGGATAAGCAGCGTGTAATTTTTGGCAAAATAGTCAAATATTCAAAGTGACATACAGGGTGTTTCTGTTTATTGTTGCACTTTGAGATTCGATAGAACTTTTAAAATTAATGCATAAAACATGGGTCGAAAAATGCGTGGCTTCCGAAATACAGGGTGTTTAAATTTACTTTCTAAAATAGTTTTTTTTAAATATTTCGGACAATATTTGATGTATAACAGTGAAAATTGGTATACAAGGCTTTTTTGGTACGACAAAACGAACCATGGGCATAGTTTTACTGTAGCCGCTAGAGGGCGCTCTCTACTGTACCTGTAGTGTATTAAAATGACCGAAAATTTTTTCTTAGTGCAGTTTTTTGGTTTTTGAATAAAAAAACTGATTCCTCGCACTTTTCAACATAAAAAAGCTCTCCTGTGAGTTTTCGTTTAGTTAGCCGTTTTTGAGATATTTCGATTTTTAAGGTTCGATGCATTTTTAATTATTTATGGGAAAATAATATTTTTTTGTACATTTTCGATTTGGGCACTACAAGTAATTAAGATGATCGTTTAGATTGTGTTTTTAAACACAGCAATAATTCCTAACTCCAAATAATCACAAAAAACAGAATATTATTAATTTGTTTAATTTTCCAATATTATTTTTAACAAATTAAATTAATTATTTACAACTAAAATGCTATTGCATAGTTAGGACAAACATACAAAATCTCAAGTAGTTCCTCGAAATGTAAACCCAATTGTTCAATACACAATTCACATCTACGAATGTTCGAACGTGGTATAGCATTATTCAAATATGGCCTTATTTCATCACATGGAGTCCTGATTCTGTCTATTAGCATATCTCTTGTGGTTACGGGAGTCTGGTACACTTTTTCTTTTAGAAATCCCCACACAAAGAAATCTAATGGATTTAGGTCAGGGGATCGTGTAGGCCAGGCGACTGGTCTTCCACGGCCGATCCATCTTTCTGGATAATTTTCGTCCAGCCAGTTTCTAACTATTCTCGAATAATGAGCTGGACAACCATCAAGCTGGAACCAGGCCAATCTTCTTAAATCTAACATAACATCATCCCACATATTTGCATGTTCAGCCTTTAAAAATTCCAAGAAGGTCGCAGCATTTAACCTTGCAGGCAAAAGTCCATATAGTCGATTACGGTAGATACCAATCCACACGTTCACACTAAATTCATGCTGAAAATTTCTTTCCCGAACTGCATGCGGATTTTCATGCGACCAAATGTATTGATTATGAAAATTTACCACTCCACGTCTAGTGAAGCATGACTCATCGGTCCATAAAACGTTACTTAAAAACTCTCTATTATTATCAGTTCTATCAAGAATCCACTGACAAAATGTGATTCTTCGTTCTCCGTCCCCTGGCTGTAGTCCTTGCACAGGTTGCATATGGTAAGGACATCTATGGTCATTTCTAAGATCACGGTGAACATGCTGAAATTCCCAAGGCACCAGAAACTCTCCTAACACTTGTGGTCGGATCTCTATCAAACTCACGCAGAATCATGCGGGTAAATCTGCGCTGACGAACATTTATGTTTTGATCTCTTTGGAGATTTCCAAAACCGTTTTCAATTATTTGGCGAAGCACTCTTACAAATACTGAGCGAGTTGGATGTCGTCTGTTTGGATATCTTCGTGCGTATTCTCTGGCTGCTTCTGCTGCGTTTCCATTTACAAAGCCATACACAAAATGAATATCCGCTAACTCTTGATTGGAGAATAAAAATGGTATTTTAATAAAACTTACAAAAAAAAACAGGTAAAAGAAACTAAATTTCGTGAATTCACAATTGCAAAAAAACGTTTCAGGTTTCAACAGATAACAAAACTAACTGTCAACTAATTGACGTTTAACCTTATTCTGCTTTCGATTTCAAAAATATTTGCAGGCACAGCCTACTTCTAAAAATTATCGAGATACTGACTTTTTAACGTTATTTTATCATAAATAATTAAAAATGCATCGAACCTTAGAAATCGAAATATCTCAAAAACGGCTAACTATAACGAAAATTCACAAGAGAGCTTTTTTATGTTGAAAAGTGCGAAGAATCGGTTTTTTTTATTCAAAAAGCAAAAAATTGCACTAAGAAAAATTTTTCGGTCATTTTAATACACTACAGGTACAGTAGAGAGCGCCCTCTAGCGGCTACAGTAAAACTATGCCCATGGTTCGTTTTGTCGTACCAAAAAACCCTTGTATACCAATTTTCACTGTTATAGATCAAATATTGTTCGAAATATTTAAAAAAAAACTATTTTAGAAAGTAAATTAAAACACCCTGTATTTCGGAAGCCACGCATTTTTCGACCCGTGTTTATATAGACTTTATGCATTCATTTTAAAACTTCTATCGAATCTTGAAGTTATGCAACAATAAACTGAAACACCCTGTATACAGCAAAGTTTTAAGAGTTACCAGGTTCCGAAAAAATCTACCTATCTATCAGAAAATATACGACATGTCACTCAGGCGTCGCACGCCGTGTAGGTAAACCTAGCTGTTTGTTTATAAATCGGATTTGAAAAAAACGATTCCTCCAGCAATGATGAACTTCTCGAATTGATATTGCGGATTGTTCGAAAGAACTGCGCTTTTTTACTAATTCTGATAGATTATTTTTTCTCAGGATTCGACGATAATGTTACTGTGCATCGCGGTGTTTCTGTCCTATTTACCGGAAGCGGGCCAGTACAGTTGCATTTTCGTCTACCTTAAACTAGTAATGGGCTGGACGCCCTTGATGGTTGCAGTATTTGTTGGCCTGGTAGGGTTACTAGCTGTCATCACACAGTTATGTTTAGGTGAGTTGACTTGACTTCAAAACTTTTTTCAGTCGCCTTTTCATTTAGCTGTAAATACAGGGTGTCCGCAAAGTTGGGGTTTTCCTTTACACGACGTGTAGATCTTGAAAACATAAGCAATTTTTCTTAGTACCATATACACCAATGTCTTAAGGAAACCGAGATAAAGGGCTCTGCAACATCAAAAATATCTGAATACCGTCCTGTAGCCGCGACATCACCGACCGGTACAAGGTCACTGGCTCAACCCGACGACAGAACTGGATCGGGGTCAGTGTGTCAGGTCAGTATGCAACCTTCAACCGACGGTTACGGTCACGCGTGTAGAGGTAATCGCGTAGACGAGAATCCCTCAACAAGCACTAGATACGTGACTAGAGAAGTGCAAGTATCAAAAACTAAAGTGTGGCAAACGCTGCGTGAAGAGGGGCTGTATCCGTTTCACGTCCAACGTGTACAAGCCCTTCAACCTGACGATTTTCCAGCAAGTGTGCGGTTTTGTGAGTGGTTGTTGCATCAACATGACAATAATCCGGACTTTTTGAAGTGCATATTGGTGACAGACGAATCTACGTTCGCGTATAATGGGGTGAATAACTTTCGCAACACTCATGTTTGGACAGTAGAAAATCCGCACGCTGTCCGTCGGGCACATTTACAACAAACATTTTCGGTGAATGTTTGGGCTGGCATGGTGAACGGTATGCTTATTGGACCATTTATTCTCCCAAATCGTATGGACGGGATGCAATACCTAGACTTTTTACGCAACATTTTGCCTTCCTTGTTAGAAGATTTGCCATTAAGTGTAAAACGATCAATGTGGTTTCTGCGTCTGCTCGGTAGCGCTTCAGCTGATTTCATTTTCTGTTGGAGCGGTATGATTTCGGGCAGAGACGTACTTAGGCCTTCTCGTCAACTGGAGAGTGAGTACTTTTTCCTTTATTATTTTTACTTGGTCGCCCTCGTTTCACTACACATTACCTTTGCTATTTTAACGGTAGTTGTTTCTGAAAAGGGAAACCCCAACTTTGCGGACACCCTGTATTCCACTGATATTACTGATAACGGAGTGTAATCTGGAAGATAGCACTAGTGCTTTGAAGACCAAGGTTTTAAATAGACAAAAATTTCAATTGCCGATCTGCTGATCACGTCACTTGATGTCAAAACGCGATGAAGTTGCGATAATAGGTTATCTTCCTAATCTGTGTTTTTCTCGTCTGTTTTTGACAGTTTGAGCTTCAATCACATTGCCATTGCCGCTCGTTTATCTCTTTAGTTGTCAATAAATGAAATGCAGAATTCCGTTTACCATTTAACGGAAAATCCCTAGTGAATTCAAAACATGGACAATTATAATATACTAATAACAAAAGCGCCGGATTTGAGTTTGCTGCCATTTTTTTTTAAACTGGTATGGTGTTTACTTGATGACAGCTGTCATGTCCAGACCACGCGATTAGACATCATGGAGCAGTATTCAAACTCACTACAAAAATGGAGAAAATTACGTGGAAACGCAAGAATGCGTCGACAGTTCGCCGTTAATTACAAAATTTGAGAAAAAATTCACGTTGCTGAATGTGAAGACTACTGGGTGAGCATCTGTACACAGCTCTTGAGAGCACAAAGAAAGCTGGGATCTAGGGGCCCATTCACTTTCTTACACGTGAGCTGTTATGTCAAGTCATTTGAATCGACCAATCAGAGTCGAGCTGCCGGTCTCGATTCAAGGCCTGAAAATTCCATAGTCCAGTAGAACTAGGAAATTTCGAAATCAAATTGCCTTTGCATTTTTTTTATACATGTATATAATGCTTTCCCTTTTACTAATGTTTGCTTATTTTGTCATTTCATTGTTCAATTTTGATATTTTTTTCTATAATTCATATACTTTCCTTTTGCAGGGATATTGATAAAGAATCTTGGTTCTAAGCACACGATTATGTTGGGCCTACTGTTCGAGATGCTCCAGCTGCTATGGTATGGTTTTGGTACCACCACTTGGATGATGTGGGGCGCCGGTATTCTTGCCTCGATGAGTTCGATCACATATCCTGCCATTTCCGCATTTGTTTCCGTTCACAGCACCGCGGACAGACAAGGCGTCGTCCAAGGTAAGAAATAACCGCAGGATTTATTCCACACCGTACACGTCTAAAAAAATGCGTTAAAAAAGATGGCGGTTATGTAGGAAAATAGCCTAAAAATCAACGTTTCCAGTGGTGAATTCGTTTTTCAAATAAGAAATTGTAAGGTTTGAAAAGATTCATCTATTAGTGACCTTGAGTATGAGTTATTTTATCTTGTTTTTCACACCGGAATCCTTTCTGAAATATTGATTTGCTAGTTATATTGTGGTAATGATTATTCAATTCTATGTAGTGTTCTAAATGTTCTGGCAAAAGATGATTTTTTATTTTAAATATAAAAATAAGAACCAAATATGATATGAAATTTTTTATATTCAACCACTGCAATTCTTGTAACATAGATTTATTTTTATTCAATATTATTCTCATAGCTTTATTTTGCAAGACTTGTAATTTTGAGAATACAGCTTCATTGGCAGTGAACAAGATAGTTGAACAATATAGTAAATGCGGTAGAATAATTGTATCATAAACTATTTTCTTGGAATAGGTACCAAGACTATGAGAAGCCCTATAAAAGTAATTTGTTTTCTTGGCAATTTTTGAAATAATGTATTCATAGTGATCCTCAAACTTTTCATTTTCATCCAGGTATTTCCCTATTAGCATACATTTTGTTTTAGAAGTATTTTATTTTATTTACATTTAACCAATTTATGACTGATAAGGCTTTGCGTGGTAAGTGTAGAGTCAACCTACTTGACGCCTTTTTTGCAGGTATGGTGACTGGCATGCGAGGTCTATGCAACGGCCTCGGTCCGGCTATGTTCGGAATAATATTTTACATGTTCCACGTAGATTTAAACGCTGATAATACAAACAATGCTACACATTCCACGACAACATTCGAAGAGTACTCGCAGGTAAGATAATTTTTTTAAATTATTTGGTGTTAGGTTGTTTTTGATTGGGATTCGGTTCGTCGGAATTTGGATAGGTAGATAAACCTGATTAGTTCCAAATAAACACCAGAAGAGTGGAGTCCAAGATATGCTGGGTGAGCCTCACAGCAAAACCACTATGAATTATCAGAAAAAAAACTAGGAAGTTTAGTCGAATTTTGTACTGACATTGTTTAATAATTTGTCTGCTAAAACTTCTTTTTACATTATTTTCAGCTTGTGCCTGGTCCACCATTTGTTTTTGGTGCTTTTCTAGTCATATGCGCGCTATTCGTCGCCTCGTTTATACCTTCCAAAAGTCCTGTGGAGACAAGTAAGTCTATGTTTTATTTATTTTTAAGCAGTTGCTATTATATTAAGAAATTTTAACAAAACTACAAGTTCGTACCGTAACAATATGAAAGTTTTGCAATTCAGCTTCGTTAAAAGTAATTTCCACCACACTTCTGCGGTACCCAGAGAGAACAAAGTTTCCTTACGTGTGAATGGTCATGCAGAATTGAACGAATTGCTGGTGATGAAGGTGTATGGTTTCTATCTCCGGTCTTTGTCAAGCATTTTCCTCACAGGAGTAATGTTTTCCTCTTACTGAAGTTTGCGGCCTTCCTTCCCTCTCAGCGTCATCCAGAGTGAAATTGCCCCTTTAGAATTCTCTGTACCACCTGAATATAGTCGTACGATGAGGACAACTCTTCACTGCCAACGTCATTTCTTCTAAGCACTGGTCTTTGCTTAAACCACGCGTAAAGTTATACCGTAAAACTGCCGTTATCACACTGTCAACACGAATGAACAACTAAATCAGCTGGCGGCTACTATGCACTCATGGACATGTCTTAACATGCAGTAACATGCACACTCCTGCGTCCGTTTGTTAAGTGATATTGCAAAACTTTTATAGTACCCTTTGTATAGTGCATCTTTTTATTTATTTCTTATTTCCTTTAGGTATTCCGCTAGACACCCACTACGAAATGGAACACGGGCAGAAGGTGGCCGGTACGTTAAGTCCTTTAATACCCAGTAGTAGAAGTATTGACGCTGCGATACTCTAGAATGTGATTTCCGTATTTTTATGTGATTGCGAATAATGATAATTTTGTTCTGTCTTTGAACAGCTGGGATATTTCTCGGAGGCTCACGAAAAAAAATACCTAATTCTTCAAAATCGTTGTACAAACGAGGCGACATCTTCGCATTCGTGAGAGAAATTTTCCGACTAGATTCTTCTTAATCACTTCTAATAGATGCCCTTTAACTTGAATCAAGAAGTTAGCTTTTTCGTTCCAAATAAATGTTTTTTGATAATTCTGAACAAAAAAGTTTGCTTAATGACTGAAGTTTTAAGTTATGATCAATTTAAAGTTCTAAATCGCCCTGAAGGCCATTTTCAATGATCTAAAACTGGGCTAAATGTTATTACTTTTAATGTGCATGAATTTTTATGTAATTGGTGTGGTTTTTTACAAGCTTCGTAGTTTTTTTGAATCGATGACCGGCGACGCAATTTTTAATACACAAAAAGTTTGAACAAGCTTTTCAGGCATTTTATCCTTTTTTGTAGACACTTCTGCATGTTTTTCTCCGAGAACTATCTTGTACAAGCTGTACGCTTTCCGTAGAGAGAGCATTGAGATCTCAGAATGAATATATTTTGCATAAAAAAATGTACATACAAAAGGATCGTGCGGGTGATAAGAGATGGAAATATCGATGTTTTAGGAAGGATTACTTCCGAATTAATACTATTTATTAAAAGATGATCGTTAGAAAGGGACTTTTTGCCGTAAATTTGTAGGTTTTTGTTGATATTTTATTTTTAATGCAATTTTGCGCTACTTTTTTTTAATGACAAAAGCTGCTTTTAAATGTTCCGAGCCCGTCGTTGAGCTTGACAATTTTCAGAAGCTTTAACATGTCGTTCGTCAGATTGTTTACAAATGGTTAATAAGTATTTTGACATGATTTTCGCAGTAACATATTTAGTTCACGACAAACTTATAGTGTCTGTTTACATTTTTCTCACAACACTATCATTTCAAGTGTGTTGAAAAAAATAGGGAACTTCCTTAAGCGTCGACTTCCTTTTCCGTGGTTCAGAAATACTGAAAATACGAAATCTTAGGAAGACTGACTGACGAGTGAACTTGGGAAGTCATATTTTTTTTGGAAAATTGATGTCAAATTTGGTTGGGCATCTTTTCAACGAATGCATATAAGAATGTTTTCTGCTAGCCGTTCGTGAAATAAAAACATATTGCTACATATCTTAAGTGATAAAATTAAGGTATTTAAGAAATCGGGTAGACCTAGTCTAATAGACAATAATCAAAAATAGGCTTAAAGCTTTAAAAGCAGTCGTGAACATTTGAAAGCAGTCAAAAAATGTAAGTTAGATGATTAACCGGACCAGCAACTTAATTTGACATGTTTTTTTGGACAAGCTTTTCAAAAATATAAGGTGTGATCATTTAATAATTTTAAATATGCTTTGAAAAATACCCCCAAAGAATCGTCAATCAAATTGTCGCAACCGAATTTATACATATACTGCCACAAAGTATGAGTTTTTATGATAATCATACAGGGTGTTTCCTGATTGAAAGTATGTATTTATGGGGCGATTTTTTGGGTCCACGTTAAGAATAAAACTTCCTACGAACGTATGTCTTAACTTTCCAGATACACAGTGGTAAAATTTTCAAAAATAAGATTTTAATGAAATTTGTCATACATGTATTATACTTTATTTTAACGCCAAACATTAAAACATTCATGACATATGATCATATGAATATTTCTTCTTGAAATTGACCCAAAAATCGCCCTCTTAAATGTTGATATTCAATCGGGAAAGACGCTGTATAAACAACTGTTAAAAAAATAGAATGATTTCACTTTTTTCGCAGATTTATTGGCAACTTTGTAACGGAACAACTGTACCGAAACATGTGATTGTGATTAAGATGTGAGGTAAATAGAAGAGTCTAATTGGTGGACAGTATTTTCTTCATATACAAAGGACTATCAAAGGTTAGAGTTGTCATTGTGCCGTACGTTAGACTAGATCAATGTAACTCATTTTTTTAACTCTCTGCAAGACAACACTTATTTAAAATTACTCATACTATATTCAAATACAGAACAGTGCATGCCTTTGCAGTTTTTTTGGTCAATGAAAATTGAAAATAATGTTCGAAGTACAAGTCCTACCTAGAAATTGTATTTTTTTGAAATAATAACGCGAGGTATGTATTTCCAAACTGTTTCAGTTTATGATCCTGTATTGATAAAATTTTTAGAACTTGAAGTAATGGAGAGAAACCTCAGTTGATACATTATACTGCCAGTTCATAATATTCTAATCATATTAGCAAATTTCCCTAAAATAATTGTAAACTCTGGTTTTATTGGTGCAAGTTGTTCAAGGGCGGTATTTGAAACATGGACGCATAAAACGGGTACACCAGTTTTTGTAAGAAAACTTTATTCGACAACAAAAAATGAGAGAAAACGCGTTTTTTGGGATTCAATCGAAAGTGTTGACAGAAATGAAAAAACTTCGTTCAAAGAAAATTTAATAGCAAAATACATGTGTTTACCTTGCCGATATGAATAACAAACCATTCCGAAAGATAAATGTTATTTTTATGCGAAAAACAAAGGTTACGTTTTTTTCTTCTAAACAAATTCAAACATTTCGTGTTTGTGAGTAATTGAACAAATGCGCTACGATATTCGAAAAACAAACCTATACACATTTTAAAACAAAGCGGATGCGTCTATCATCTTTTGTTGCAAATTACTCACGCATACAAAATGTTTCAATTTGTTTAGAAGAAAAAACGTAACCCATCCTTTTTTGAATAAAAATATCTTTTATGTTCTGGAATGGTTTCCGATTCATATCGGCATGGTAAACTAGTGTATTTTGCTATAAAATGCCCTTTGAACTAATCCTGTACAAACAACAGGTGTTTTGGGATAAACAATTAAAGATTCTCAAAAACTACTCCAATTTTGTTGTGAGTATTTAGAAGTACGAATCCTCCAAATTTGAACCATCGTCGCATTACCAACAAGTGCCAAAACCTGCAGTTTGCCTCGGTATTCGGCCATAACTATTAGTCAGATCTTTTCAAGTGCCTCATCTTGCAAGTCTCGTAAATACCTAAAAAAATCTTATAGGAAGGGTTTTTTCGTTCCTGCCAACACTTTCGATTGAATCCCCAAAAACAATTTTTCTCATTCTTTGTTATCGAATAAAAAATGTTCCCACAAAAACTGGTGTACCCACAACTTGCAGCAATAAAACCAGACTTTGCAATTATTTCGCAAACCAGGGGTATTTTCGTCTAATATGATTAGACTAAATCCCCAACTACGTTTTACCCTTGCGAACATGTTTTCTCCACTGCACATGCTCAATGGCAGTTTTTACGGTTCTCTATTTTTCCTTAACTTATCGATATTTTTTTGCTCCCAAGTGCCTATTTGCCAATAAACTCTAACCAATCACTATTAGCATAAACTTTATATTTATTATGTATGTGCTACTATGACATTTTAAAAATAAACGTTATAAGCTAAAAAATCATTTTCGTGTGTCAAGATGGTCACTTATTTGGAAAAATGCAGCAGACCGAAAAGGTCATGTCGTGGACCAATGTTTCTTTTTTCAAATTCCTAACATATAATTCGTTACATTTGCTTATGGTCCAAGTGAAATGCTTGGGCTGTTTTTTAGTCGTTTACTCAAATTGCCAAAAATCTGTTTTACTTCGATAAAATTGAGCTGGTGTTCTGGTTAGTTGTCTCTTATACTAAACCAATGATGTCAATTCAAAGCAGACACAACAAATAATGAAATATTTATATGACAAACATAGAGATTATACGTTTTGCACATAATATTAGACAAAATACAGAAATGTCTCACTAGCTGTCTTTCTCTGCTTTTATTTTTAAATACTTAATGTACAAAGTAATAGTCGGTAGGATATGTACTAGAAAGTTATTTTATAGTTTTCCTTTTAATTGCGAGACAATTTCCTCAATGATTCTTTTGAATGGAGTCTCTGTGAACAAAATGAATGAGAATTTTCCGTGGTGATACCACGCGAGATATTTCACGATCCAATTTACGTTCAGTTTTGCAATCCCAGGTTAACTTTAATGTGAGGTGTGATAACTTTAAAGTTGGCTGTCAGTTGCCCAGAAATTCGTTTTCAAGTTTTGGTTAACAAACTCATAAATGCTGATGCGACTTTGTTTTTAATTTGTGCGTTTCGTGATGCTCGGTGTTAGTGTTTCATGTTAACGTTGTATTAGAGTAAAGTTGACATTGAAAACCATTAACTGAGAGTCAACTTGAAGTTAGCAATGAATTTGCAGTTAGCTTGCGATTGAAACAACGCGTATCAAACTGCTTTAATAAAAGTGTCTTTTCTTAAGACAGACATTTTTGCAGTTTATTTTTATTTGTTCACACAGACCTATAACAGGATGTTCCGATTAAGTTTTATTTTTCTGTTGAACCTCAAAGAAAATGTTGAAAGTAAGAGCAATAACACCCTAATGTCTTGTGAATGGTATGATTTTGGCTGTGAACTTATAAGGAACATCCTGTACGTCGAACTCTGTAAAATTGAAGAAATGCCATTAGGGTTGCTGTTAGGTATAACGATGTTAAAAAATGACAAAAATCGAACGTATGTTTTCTTGATTTTTTAATATTATGTACACTTTTCTTGGTCTATAAAAGTATTATGTAATTAGATAAAAATATATACATTACTTGTTTCTGAAATGCAGTTTAAATTCCAAGGTGTAGCTATGTGTGTCATGTATGTTTCTCATCAAATCTTTAGTGACCAAAATCTACCTCTATGAATCTTTATGTTGACCCAGGCAAGGTTCAAGAAGTATTCCCTCTGCAGTTAAAACACAAAATAAAAACAATCCAAATCTAACCCCGTTCTTGTTTGTTCCAATTGGATTATGTCTCCATCATAATAATAAAAAATAAATACCCAAGTACTTGCATCAAAATGAGATTCACGTCAGTGCAATGATGATATTTCCGAAAGAAGCAATAGCTTGTATGTCTTGGCACAGAGAAAGCATTTTCTTCTCAAGCTAATAAAGTATGTCCTTTAATTTTGGCACAAAATATTTTTTAATGAATGAATTTATTTCAACACCAACTAGTTATTATACTACCAATACATTTTGATTATGTTTTCCTTTTTTCCACTTTGTTCTCAAGATTTTTTTCTTTTGATTGTTTTTTTTTATTTCAATATATTTTTACTTTATACTGATCTATTTGTTTTTTTTTAATTTTCCCTTGTTTTCTTCATTTTTTTCAAACAAACTCACTGTAATTTACATCTCATAATGTTAAGCCTATTTTCCGACAATGCTTGTACAAAAAACTTGCTGGTTCTCAGAACTGTATCTAAAATTAGAGGCAAAGGAAGGTGTTTCGATAAAATTTGGTACAGTTCAGTATTTTCTCTATTAGAAATTGTATATTCTAATATAAGAGGTGCTGTATGGTTCCTATATTTCCGCAAATGCGATGTGGATCATCTCCAATTCTTGATTTATGGTAAGGAGTCAGGACATGACTTCTTATTCTGCTCACGGTTCTAATGTTCACATGCGCATGCATCCGCATAGAGGTGTAACCTGAGGAAACGAAGATGAAGACGGGACATTATTTTTTTCTGTTGGTTATGTACCTGTCTCTAATTGCTGTTTTTTCATTATTTTTCTAAATGACCCTTTGATTATTCTAAGTATAACTGGGCGACGAAAAGAAAAAATAACATGTTCGATATTTATTTAAGTATTTCATATACAGAAACGTAGTTTATTGCACAAAACAAATCCATTATTTAATAATGAGGATATATAAGAACTAAAAAACAATCTATAATCCTAAAATAAAAAAATACTTTATATTGAAACCTTATACGATGTCAACTTTTATCGTTATCATTTGAGGAACTTTTTATCTTAGAAATAAATTGCTAGTTTTTCATTATTTCTTCTAAATGACCCTTTGATTATTCTAAGTATAACTAGGAGAAGAAAAGAAAAAATAACATGTTCGATATTTATTTAAATATTTCATACACAGAAACGTAGTTATTGCACAAAACAAATCCATTATTTAATAATGAGGATATATAAGAACTAAAAAACAATCTATAATCCTAAAATAAAAAAATACTTTATATTGAAACCTTATACGATGTCAACTTTTATCGTTATCATTTGAGGAACTTTTTATCTTAGAAATAAATTGCTATTTTTTTATTATTTCTTCTAAATGACCCTTTGATTATTCTAAGTATAACTAGGAGAAGAAAAGAAAAAATAACATGTTCGATATTTATTTAAATATTTCATACACAGAAACGTAGTTATTGCACAAAACAAATCCATTATTTAATAATGAGAATAAATAAGAACTCAAAAACAATCTCTAATCCTAAAATAAAAAAATACTTTATATTGGAACCTTAAACGATGTCAACTTTTATCGTTATTATTTGAGGAACTTTTTATCTTAGAAATAAATTACTATTTTTTCATTACTTCTTCTAAATGACCCTTTGATTATTTTAAGTATAACTGGGCGAAGAAAAGAAAAAATAACATGTTTTATATTTATTTAAATATTTCATATACAGAAACGAAGTTATTGCACAACACAAATCCATTATTTAATAATGAGAATAAATAAGAACTCAAAAACAATCTCTAATCCTAAAATAAAAAAATACTTTATATTGGAACCTTAAACGATGTCAACTTTTATCGTTATTATTTGAGGAACTTTTTATCTTAGAAATAAATTGCTATTTTTTCATTACTTCTTCTAAATGACCCTTTGATTATTTTAAGTATAACTGGGCGAAGAAAAGAAAAAATAACATGTTTTATATTTATTTAAATATTTCATATACAGAAACGAAGTTATTGCACAACACAAATCCATTATTTAATAATGAGGATAAATAAGAACAAAACAAAACAATCTATAAACCTAAAATGAAAAATACATATTGGAACCTTATACGATGTCATGGTTGTTATTAAACACAAACGAACCTTGCGGTTGAGTATGTTCCCCAAACATAGTCTGACTATTAAAAGTGAACTTAAATGGTGGCGCTGCGTTTTGGGAACTTGTCAAACGATAATTCCCGTTTTCTTCGATCATTGTGACATCATCTGGTATGTCTTCACCGTGACCGATATTATCGTCGATGATCATTTGACTCTCGCAATGCTTTGTTCCGAATTCAGAGAGCACCACCGTTTCATCGTGGCTGCTCCATTTAGTGATTTTTGGCGGGGGACTGATGTTTATGGTTCGTTGCGGCATTGATGGTTTTATAAAATGGAACTAAAAACAAAAAATATTGTTATTCAAACGGTAATAAGACATATGAAATTTAATAAAACATGTAGAATGGAAGCTTGTTTACGTCTACATTTTTCAATGTGTTATGTTCGCAGTGAAAACGCAAAATGATAACACGTATGGTCAAGAGCTCTGAATGTTTTGCTACCCCAGCATCGGCTGACAGTAACTGAAAAAAAAGCTCATTTGCACACCATTATACGCCCGAAACAAAAATAAATCGATTATCTTCAAAAAGGAAAGAAGAACAGCTTGCAGAAAACGGCGTCATATGCAGAAAAATCCTGCTCACAAAGACATCGTACCGTCTCACACCTCAGCGGTTGCGATGACGAAAATCCACCAATTTATCTTTGTTAGGTCGGAAACTTTTCAGACCACCTTCGTATGTGCGCAAAACTTTATAAAAAGCGAGGAACCTTCAAAAAAAAAACCTGAAACGAGTTTTGGTTCAGCTGCTAAAAAGTTTCTCTTGCTGAACACGTTGGGAATTAGCGGATCGTCCACCATACAGCCCTGACTTAGCACCATCATCTTTTTCCAAAACTTGAGAATTTCGCGGTGGGAAGCGCTTGGAAAATGACGTTGAAAAAAAAACAGTTACTAAGGGTTGACGACGGGAATCAAAAGCTGGTGCCAAAGAAATATTTAAATGTTTATAGTGAAAAAAATCTTGATATTTCAGTTTGTAATACAATAAATAGAGATTCTCTAACTCCATTACAAAATCTTTCTTACTTTAAAAAATGACCAAACTTGCTCAGTTGGATTTATTACAACTACAGAAAGTGTTTTATACTTACATCTTTATCATGTCTGTTGTTATGGCAGTCAAACGATGCTAAATCTTCAAACATGTTGTTCTGTGAATTTTTCTCAAACACAAAAGTTTTCTTTATATCCCCAAGAGGCCTTCTATCGGAGTTCATACTGTATAGACTGCTTGACTCAAGTTCATATATCTTGACACCATCATTTTGTTTGTATAGAACCGCTGGTTGCATATTTGTACATTTAGGAATATTCACATGTCTTGGTCTTCTTGGCGGAGTTTCATAGACCCATTCGGAGCTTGGAACGAAACTGAAGCCAGGCAGAGGATCTTCTAAATCTTTTGATGGTGTTTCATCATCACATGATGGGTCTGCAAACGTGGGTTCAGCAGGTGTCTTCAGTCCAAGTAATACATCATTTATTTCTCCCATCTTTTTGTTAATAGCTCTTTTACAAAGTCTGAGATTGTCTTCTCTAATATGCACCGACAGATCCTCTTGTAACAAATTGCAAAATTCACTTTTATCTTCGCCGATCGTAAACTTTTTAGACCTGTATTCTAAATTGCTGGATTGTAGATTATTTGCAATCTCAAGTCCAGCGTACTTTCTGTTTATTTCTTTGAATATGCTTTTTGATTTGCCTTTCGGTAAATTTTCTTGCACCTTAGAATAGCTATTTGAAGATTGAGGAGAACTATCTAAAATTTTGCTGCAATAATCTGCAGCACTTATAGCAGTGTCGATGCCTTGTTCCAAATTTTTCTTTTGAATTCTAGCAGAACGTCTTTGATTTTGCACATTACAGCCTGATTTAAATTGGTTGAAGATACCATGCAAATCCTCTTTCAAAATACATTTATTCTCTTTGTCACGATCAAAGTCGTTTGAAGCTAAAATTTTACGAAATGAATTATATATACAATTTATTAGTTCATGTTTCATACCCATATTTCTACTTGCAGAGTCGGATACAATTCCTTGTGATAAAAATCCTGGGGTACCTAAGATTATAGGAAATTAACAACAAAAATGATAAATTGCAATATTAACTTACCGTTAGGCGTTTTGATGTGATATTTGGCGGGTTTATAGCTCTTTTCTTGTTATTAGTTTTCTTATCTTTTCTATTCGTGATTCTTTTTGCGTGTCTATACATACTTTTTCCCTCCAAAACAACCGGTAAGGTGTGTTTTTGTGTTTTTGCACTTTTTTTGAATATACCACTAATTTAAAATTTGCGGTGACTAGCAATGCAAAGTTTAAATTCCGAAGAATAGAGAAAGAAACACTGAAAAACGCTCAAAATCAACAAATTCGAATTCAAAAGAACTACATGACTTGTACGTCACTGTCATAAAACGGTAAGTTATTAATTCACAGAGCTGGGGTGCGTTTGGTAATGGAATGTAGATTGACAGATTAAATTTTACTGTGGGATACTGTAATGACACTTGATGACAGCCGACTAATTTCTAGCCACGCTTTTTACGACCATTGTTATTATTATAATAGACCCTAGAGATACGGGGTAGCAATTATCATGAAAAATATATATTCTGCCAATTTTGAGAAGTTTTTGATCACCAAATAAAATAAGCAAACAATGAACCATGAGAATGACAACTGACAGAACTCGGTGCTGTTGCGTCTTGTAGAACTTCCGATTTCTCTGTTTTTTCTCTTAAAACTTTTAGATTGTAGTCTGATAGATTATTTAAAAACAAAAAAAGTGTGGATGAAGCACGCTTTTCATGAAAATGTTTTCCCAAAACATTGTATTTTTAGCTGTTCCTTCCATCGTTATCTCCACCGCCATCTGTCTGTGCATATGTCATATATGAGGCGCTTGCCTGCGGTGTTGCCGGATTGGGCTCCAGATTTAGGGAAAAATTTGAAAAGTTGAAAATTTATATACAAGTGTATATTAATTAATGAATCACAAACACGAAAAACTGAAAACAAACAACAGTAGCAAAATAAAATGCGATTCCTAATAAGTATAAATAAAAAATAACAGTAGTAAGCTAAAAAATGATAAATTATAAATAATTATAAAAAACAAAAAATAAAAACAGTAGTAAAACAAAAACTAATTCCATGTAATTATAAAATCGAAAAATAACAAACAGCAGTAAATAAAAAGCCAATTCTAAGTAATTATAAAAAACAAAAAATATAAACAGTAGTAAAACAAAGAAAAACAATTCCGTGTTGAATAAAAGCAATTCTAAGTGACAACACAAAAAAAAGTAAAAAAAGTAGTAAAACGAAGAATAATTTCATTCCATCCAAATTGCTTTTTATTGTACTGTATTTTTTTGTTTTTTATAATTAAATGGAATTGTTTTACCACTGTTGTAATTTTTTGTTTTTTTATAAGCACTTAGAATTGCTTTTTATTTTACTGCTGTTTGTTATTTTTTGTTTTATACTTAGTAAGAATTACTTTTAATTTTACTAGTGTTGTTTGTTTCAGTTTTTTGTTTTTGTGTATCATTAATATAAATGTATATAAATTTTCCACTTTTCATATTTTTTCCTAAATACAGACCCCAATCCTGCAGCACCGCAGGCAAGCGCCTCTCATATATGACAATATGACATATCCACAGACGTCAGCGTCATATGGTGGTGGAAATAATGGGGGAAATAACTGCTAAAAAAATACAATGTTTGGGAAAAAATTTCATGAAAAGCGTGCTTCATCCACACTTTTACCCTCTATAAGTTTCAAGTGAAAAAACAGTGAAATCTATAAGACGCAACAGTACCTATATTTACGTCAAACAATATACGAACGCAGCCCTAGATCTTCAGTTACATACTCATTAGGAACACGTATTCTTATCCGCCATTTTCGCTCCAACAGCATTATACCCTACAAAAATTTAGAATACGGATCTGTATTTCTTCTTTTTAGAGACATCTAGCGGAACTTTCGTAAAGCTTGAGCATAGTCTCTTTTTGGTAAGAGTTTGCTACCTTATCGACATAGTTCCCAAATTTCCCGGTAGTTAGCGCCGTAAAGCATTTTGACGTTTCAAAATTTCGCATAACCAAATATGGGGATTTCTGAAAACTAGTGAACTAGATATGAAGTGTTTGCGAAAATATTAAAAAATTCAGCATATATGTAAAATATAAATGTAAATACAAGAAGCACAACTAGCTTAGGAATTTTCAGTACATATTTAATAAGGTAAGTGCAAATTAGCGACAGCCAAAACATATATTTGTCAGGTTATGTTTAATAATTTTATATTTTATTTCATAAAAAATAATATTTTTATCCGTAATTTGCAGATGTCCTTTCGGGTGGTACGCAGTTCTAAATTTCGGCACGTTTATGGCCAAGCTTTGAAAAGAGAGCAGTGCTATGATAACATACGTGTTTCAAAAAGTTCATGGGACTCTACATTCTGTGCAGTCAACCCCAAATTCTTAGCTATCATCGTAGAAAGCGCTGGAGGAGGCGCTTTTATAGTTCTTCCACTTAATAAGGTAAGTTGGCTATTGTTGCAAGTTTATCCTGATAGCTGAGAGAAAATCTACATTAGGTCAAGCCTCTATTTTAAACATTGAAAAACTCAACACTAAATTTTTCATTATAAGAAACTGGTATCACTTTCTTTTAGCCCAATCTTTTATGTTTTCAACACATTTGGCACCACAATTTTTTTAGATTTTTAACTTGTACTTTGACCGTAGTGTTTGTCATAAATTTTCACTAATATACCTTTTTTAGTTAGGTAAGTACAGCTTTCCTTATACTAGCAAAACTGGTTATGCTGAATTTTTTTTTTAATTTTGGTTGGGCTCATAACCTATTAGATCCTGAAATATGCAGACCCTTCCAATACCTTTACTCACCAATAATGTTTCAAATGCTACTTATATTTTTCTGATTTTAGTGAGAAATGTTCAGGTTTCCAAAGAATGTGAAAAAGTGTTATCTTTAGTTTTTCAAGTGCTGTGTTTTCAGTCATTCATCAAATATGAGATGATTGATATAAAAATAATCCGTTTAATGTAGTTAGAGAGAAATATTGTGTTTGAAGATGCTTCTGCTGGATACAGTGCATGATACCGTAATATGTCAGTTTTTCAGTCATATCCCACTTATCATAAATCATATTTTGTTAATCTAGAAACTGCAACTAATTTGCAGCCATTCAGAAACGAATATAGAACACATATTTAAAAATAGAATGTGCACTGTTTTGTTGAATTTGTTATGTATTTTCTGCAGTCATGCAGTCTTATTCTGTACATAAGTAACCTCAATACAATAACACAGCAGTATTAAGCGGTACTTTTATCAATAGCATCTTTATTACATTTATTCATGCCATTTGTTTTTTTGAAAATTTCCTTCTCAAATAATATCAGCCATCTGTGCTGGCAACATGATTTGTTTAGGAATTCCAATTTTCGATGATTCAGTGGTGTATTTTTGGCTGCATTTGGCGCTGTGAGAAATGCTCGGGCGCGTCATCGAAAATTTAAATTCCAAAATGCGCCACAATGACCTCAGTAACAGCCGACATGTGAAGGAAATAAAAGAACGTCTAGATGATTTTTTCGATAAAGTTGAGGGTTTTACAATATGATTTCCAAAAATTCCGGCCCACACATTAATTTCTTCACGATATTGCGAGTGTACCCCTCAAAATTTGAATTCGAGTCACTCCAATATCGAGAATTATGTCATTTTAGAGCACCACGAAAATAGAACGTGCACTCATCCGAGAAACAAACATTTTTTAATTCGCAAAACTTGAACCTTCCATCAAAATCGTCATCATTAAGCTCGTTTTTCCCAAAATGTACCAGGAGGGTCACAAATGAGGGTGCGACCTTTGCATCGGGTCACTCTGTATAACGTCCAAAAAGGGACGTAATAAATATATGCGTCCATAAAAG